TTTCATATTATATCATTATGTCGTATTTAAATTACTAGATCTATTTAACTCTTATAGATACCTACATGTTTTTTTTTTTTTGTGAGGACCATGCAAATGCTCCCTTATAAGGCATTAATGAATAAGTTTATATTTAATGCATTATTAGTGTATAGATTTTATATATTATTAATAAATCCAATAATGCCAACGAGAGTTTTTTTATGTATTTATTTCAAGGGCTTGTAAAATTTATATTTAGTAATTGATGAGATGATATCATCTAATTTATTGATAGTATATAAAATTTTTACACTTACAATATATCAAATATAAACTATAAATGAATTTGAAACTTATTTAACAATAATTTTTTATATATGTATATAATGCTGCAAACTACTACAGGGAGTTGTGAAATGTAAAAACTCATTGTTATTTTTGTGTATGTTGAAGTACATGAAACGCAGTATTGGTAGCCCTAATACTTTTTTATGGTATAAAAAAAATCTCTTTTTTTTTTTTTTTTGCAACAAAATTTAAATTGTTTCCAGGAGTTAACAAAAAGTTAATGGATGATAGAAAAAAAAATGTTTTGAAAACATTTTGCTGAGAAATGTGCATAGCTTACAAAAATCTATTACAATATGTATAAAAACTTTATACCATTAATAATTCGGAATTTTTGCATGAAGAAAGTTGTAACGAAAAACTTTTGTCGTTAATGTTAAAAAATTTTCAGGAAACAATAATTCTATGTAAAAACAAAATATATATTCCGAAAGAATTAATTCACACATTTGATTGAAGTCAAAATCAAGCTATCATTATATTTATTGAACAATATAACTTGAATTAAAATCACCTTTTTTAACTAATTGTGTCAAAATTTGAAATTTTTTTAATTAAAACATTGGATTATAATGTAGAGTTTACCATGAAAAGAAGATTAAAAAAATAGGAACAAGAAGAAAAGTTACGAGCAATGGGCTTGAAAATTTTTTTTATCATTGGGCTAAGGCCTTTCAAAACTACTTTCCAACAAAACCTTAGACCAAACCCCAAAGACCACCCTACAACATTTTTTTTTTTTTAAAATTTTTTGAAATAAACGACACTGGATCTTGGGTGTTTCTAAGAAAGTGACAGAGACAATGGCGGGAAAGCAAGTGGCCGGCGAAGTCTTGCCGGCCAACATCGCCGGATTGTCGAAGAACCGACCTTACGACATCATGTCTCAGATGAAGGCACTCTCTCTTTCAATTTTCTATTTGATTTCAAATTTTTTTCGTTTCTTTTCCTCCAAACGCCACTTCCTTCACCGTCAAATCTAATCTGTAATTTAAATTTCTTAATAATTTAATTCGGTTATATATATTTTCGTGAATATGCAGACGCTTAAAGAACAAAACGAGCAACAGGCGAGGCAGATCCTTATCCAAAACCCTCTCTTGACTAAAGCCCTTTTCCAGGTTTTCCTTTTCTTATTTATTTATTTTTTTCAAATTAAAAGAATTCTCTTTGTTTTCCTTTCCAAATTATTCTTAATATTTTTTAGAAGTTTTAAGTTTTGGTACTGATGGTAATTATATATTGCTATGATACGTTTGTTTGAATGAATTGTTGCTTGCTATTACTATGAGAATTGCATGACCCTTTAGCTTTACACTCTTGATATCCCTTGTAGGCTAAAGTTGTCAACTTTTGTTGCCTTTTTTGATATAGTCGTTGACAGTAGCTAGTCGCTAAGAACCCGAGCAACACGGATACTGCATATGCTAGCGGCTCAACGTTTTGTGTTTTCAGTTTTTGGAAAATAGTTTCTGTTTTCTATTTTTTTTCTATAAAATGTATTTGGTGAATGAAAACATAAATTGTTTTCTAAAAATACAAAATATGCAATTATAAAAATAATTATTATTAATGGCATCAGATTATAAATATATATTATATATTTATTAATTAACAACTTCCAAATATATTCAAAAATGGGTCAACTTCTTAACTTACAAAACACAAGCAAAAATGTAATTAGCATTGCTTGTTTTCATAATTGAAAACATCTTTTTTGTGTTTTCACATTTGAGCCTATTTTCATAATTGAAAACTTATTTTCATTTTCAATTACCAAACACGATTTCACTCTTGTTTTTCATTTCCCAAGAAAATGAAAATAGAAAAGGTCTATGTTTTCTAAAACCAAACACTACCATGGGCAATTAGGTTTCTGAAGTTGGTTTTGTAATTATGGGATGCTTGTAGTTCTAGTTGCAACTCACAACGTGGCGAGAAGCTGTGATCATGGAAACATCTCTCTTTATGGATTAGTTTTAGTCCTATACAGCGTGATGGCTCATCACCCTTCTTTTGCTTCAAATTGTATCTTTTTAGACACTATAACGTTAAATCTTTAGTAGCTTCCTTGCCTGACAAGGTTTCTTTAATTATTCTTGTTACTTCAGGCTCAGATTATGCTTGGAATGGTTAAGCCCCCTCAAGTGGTATGCTTTTGATCTCTGTAGAATTGTCTTTGATATTTTACATTGTGGACTGTGCATGTGTTCTTAATTTCTGTTTGTGTTTAGATTCATACAATTCAGCCACCTTCATTACAACAATCTCAGCAATCTGCACAACCACCTCCACAGCCAAACATCCAGCCAACACAATCGTTGCTAGGTCCAGTCAGGTTGCAAGACCAAGCTGCTGCATCTCAGATCGAACCTCCAGTAAGGAAGCAGCATCAAAACCAAAGTGGGAAACAAATCTCAGCTGCTGCTGTTCCTGCGGCAAACCTTCAGTCTCAACCCATGCCATGGCACTCCCTACAGACACCACAGCAGACAAAGGGACATTCAAATCCTCCAATTCCCTTCCACAATTGTCCCAACTCCCAAATGTACCTTCACTTCCTCTTCATTCATCTTCACAGCCCCTTCATCATCATCAAACCCATAAGCCAGTAGCCTCCAACCAGTTGCAGCAGCCATTGCAGACAACTGGAATTCCTCGTATGCCTCTGCAACCACCGATGCCAACACAGGCAAGAGCATCTTCAGGGCCAACTTTCCATCATCAGTATGCTCCACGAATAGGTCCTAATGTGGGTTTCCATAACCCTGGTGCTCCTCAGCTTCTTTCACAGCCAATGTTCCATGTAAGTCAAAAGTTATAGTTCGGAAGTCAGTCTTGGGTGTCTCCCTTGTAACATATTCTGCAATAATTCCTCTTATTATTGAATTGCTCAGTCAGGTAATAAACCTCCTGACCTTGGACCTTCTTTTCCACAAGGACAGCCACCACATGCAAATCAGCTGCCACCTCAATCAATATATCAAAATCAGGTATATGCATAATTTAGTTGTTTGATATATATTGGTTTCATCACTTAGTGAACCATTCTTATGGGGCTGATCATAAAAGTAAGCTCATGCTTTTAATTTATGCTTAGTGGCGTAAGTAAGTAGATGATTGTATAGATTTCATAGTCTACCTTGTCTGTAAACTAGATTCAATTACTTTTTATCAGGCACAAGGCAATCTTCCAATATAGATCCCCCGTCTTCTAGTTTATTGGTTCACTAGTCTATGCTTTAAAGTTGAAAATATGTAAAATACTGGATTCCTTTTTGTTCATTTGAAAAAGTTATGAAAATATTCTTCGCTACAAATATTTGCCTTGTTAGTGGCACCTTTGTGAAGTGATTCTTGAGCTAATTGATTTTGCGCCTCATTAAAAATCATCCAAGTATGGTTTTGTTTTCTTTTCCCTTAATAATTCTTGCGTGTGAAGATGGCAACATAATTGCTAGTTATAAATGCATGCAATTATGATTGCAATAGCACTTATATATTTGTAGTTATCATGAGCAGTTTATGCTGTCTTTGCATAAATTAGGACAGACAACTGTTTGGGTACTATTTATTCAGCTAGGTTTATAAGTTAGAGTTCTAGCTCAAGCTGGGAGAATGGTAACCCATTGAAATGAGTGAACAAGATTATGGGCTGATAACTTCTTTTGAATTTAATAAAAGATAAAGTTTTAATGACTTTGATTTAAATTATCCTAATCATGAACTCAAGAGGACTCTTTGTTGTCTAGTTCAGTCAGCAGTTGCTGTTGCTATTGTATGAAGTGGTTAAATTATTTTCTTATATTTTGTTCAGTTATTGTTTTTGTTATTTTTTCCTTCCAGAAGCAAAAAGAAGTAAAAAAGTGATTTTAGATGCTAAAACAAATACTATATCTGAAAAAGTAAAGGTTAAATTTTAACTTTCATGATAATTATGCATGATTTTACTTTTTTATGGAGCTAATATATTTGAATTTTTGTTGCATTTTAAAGTTTGTTTATTTTTAATCAAATATGATTGTACTTTTTAACTATTTGCTTTTATTTCTGAGGAAGCAAAGAGCAAATAATAAAGAAATTAAAGGACAAATGCAATAATCAAATTTTTTAACTTTCAAAATTGATTTTCTACTTTTAGTTGAAACAAATTTCCATCTCTCGTGGAATGGTATCCTGCGGGAAATGTGTTGCTTAATAGACTTTATCAATTGAAAACTTTTTTGGTATATGTTTATTCTTTCAGGCAGGAGGCTTGCATTTAGGGTCCAAGTTTGGCAACCAAGTTGAAGGTTCTAAGCAAGCAGATACAGGATCTTCTTTGATGTCTAGCCTACCGGACAATTCAACACTAACACAGCTTCAAGGACCTTCACCTATGGTTCCACGTCAGATGGGTCCAGGAAATCAGCCACCTCGACCTGCGTTGGTGATTATCAAAATTTGAGTTTTCATATAAGAAAGATTATTTATCAATAGCTCAACTTGTTCCATTGACAGTTTGATTTTCCATTGTCTCTTTATAGTTGACTCCTGAGATGGAGAAGGCACTACTTGAGCAGGTCATGAGCCTTACTCCGGAACAGATTAATCTCTTGCCTCCAGAGCAAAGGAATCAAGTGCTTCAGCTCCAGCAAATTCTACGCCAGTGAGAAGGCCATACTTCATCAGGTAAAGAGCGGGCGGACAATGGAACCAAACGCTATAATGCTATATTCCCCTGACGTAGCGTGAGGAAGCATGTGATGGATGATAACTGATCTGACAGACAAATCTCAACTGATGAAAATTTTGTTTTGCTGCTGTAATACCGCTGCAAATTAAGCATTTGCTGCAGAGATTTATACAAATGCATTTCATCTTAATCTCCTGTGCGCTATCCAGTAAGAGCCTTGGTAATTTATTTGTAGATTGGTAGCTTTTACGTTGATTATTAAGGGCAGATTTGAGGGCTCTTGCGAAGATATTTCATTTTACAGCAAAACCGATCATGTTTCATTGTACTAACACCAAAATATACAGTAATTACAATAAAATCCAATTGCTTTTATGATAGGAGAAATTATATTCCCCTAATTGAGAAATGAAACAAATCATTAAATTTTGACTATGATTAGTTGAACTTGAAGAGTTTCAGATTGTTCAAGGATAAAGGAGCATCCACCATTGTTTTAGGAGGAAAGAGCTCGAAAATCACTAGATAGCAAAAGTACACACTCGATAATCTAATATCTACAAGCTAGGGATGTTAAAAGAAGCGTAGCAAAAACAGTATTAACATCTACTCACAAAGATCAGGACCCAATATTCTTGCCATTGAGATTCAACTTTCTTGATGCTCGTCCTAGAGGTGAAAGATCACAAACCATGACATCGAATTGGTTAGCAGTCCATAATGTGACAAGCTTGCTAAACAGGAAGATAGATCTACATTGCTTAGCAACGGAAATTGCCAAGTTGAAATTCGAAAAAGAGGAAGTGGTCATGCCAGTTCTTCGTTTGCTGCCAAAAATAGATTATGCACAGCAGGGAGCTGTAATGTTCTATCATCTTTATCTATAAGGATTTCTGTGTAAGCAAAACTATACTGGTAGAAAAATAATCTTAACGTGTCAACTTGGAAGGTAAAGATTTGCCTTAACTTCCAGAAGATCTTCTGCTTAGAGAAGGTGATGAGTTCAAAATTTCCTGATCCAGTTCCCTTATCTTGTTGAGTAGAAGCATCTGCTCAGTCTCAAGCTGTACCATGTATTCTTCTTGCATATCTTGAAAAGTTTCAAATTCACTCAATGGAGTCGACATTCCTTCAAGGTTGCCATCCTCAGTTAAAGATTGAAGTTTGATCATCATTTGTTTCATCTGCACAATCTCATATTAAACAATATATGGCAGAGTTTGACATTGTTCTATCTATTCACAAGCATAGATTCATTAGTGATCAATGATGAGCAACTCAAAAATAGATGCATTAATAAGTGAGGAATAAATTTGATCTCTGCTTTTTAATTCTTACATTCTATATTGACAAGCAATATAGAAAAGTAAAAAAAAGTTAAAAAGAAGAACACAATTGAAAATCCATTTTGAACATATCAAAACTCGTTTTACAAAGAAACGTGCAGTTTCTAATAGTTCTAACATGTCTTATTGGTAGTGTAAATTTTGAAAAGGAATTTCATCATAGTGAATAGAATAATATAGGGCCACGTAAATGAACACCAACAACATGTTTTCACCTGGCTTGATATTTGATGTGCTTTTGTTAAGGATGGTTCAGAGTCCAGACTAGGTCTTTTCTGTAGTTCTGGAACTTTTCTTGTAATTTGAACATGAATTTCTCCCCTTTTGACCCCTTGAAGCGGTATCCACTTGTCAGACATCTCATTTGGAGGCAGCCTCTGATATTCTACAACACAATCACCTATGCTTGATGTTGGTAGCAAGGCATTGTGATCTTTCACATGCAACTCTAAAGGACTACCATCATCAGGGAATTCCAAAGTTTGATGCCACTGAGGATTCAATGTTTTGTACATAACCTGAAGGGCAATCCATGGAACAGTTAAAAACTATTGAGCAAACAGGTACAACAGAAAAAAGATGAAGGATAACAAATGAGTTCTATATTCTAAGGAATTCGTTTGCAGAATATGGATAAGATATAAATATACAAGACTACACATGCCAATTGTAACTGCAAACATTATGTTATTTCATAGGAAGTTTTAGAAGGGAAAAGATAAAGCCTGCTTTTATAAACGATGAAAGTGAACTGGTGAGAAAGATAATGCAATTATTATTAACCACAAAAAGGAAATAAAATAAAAAAGAAACAAACGAAAAAGTACACTTAAGAATGCAATAAACATGCATCATCCAAGTCCCCTTTTATCAGAGCCAAAAGTGCAATGCAACTGTTTCAAAATCATGTTGTTTCAGAACCTTTGTTCGTCTCTTCAAGTTTCCATACTGCACCCTCACATAAGGATCACTTGTCCCCCTTAGATCAGCGGCTACTAGCTCTCTTGCTTCAACTAGAACAAGTTCAATCCAACCATTGCCAGGATATAAAGAGCCCTTGTAGAAAAATGAAAATAGAAACACATTATAGCATAGACACACTTGAGATAGAAGATCATCAACCAGTAAGGCATTGAAATTGTAAGATTTGCTTTTTCAAACCAAAGTACACTATATTGAACAGGCCAAGCATGTAAGTTTAAAAATGCTACCCAGCTGACACTTATGCACATAACTATGTTCATTGAACACATGTAAACATGTTCATAGCTTTCTTTATGTGAGTCGGACAATTAAAGCCTAAATCTCAAACATCATTCATAGTTTTTTCTTTTCAATTCTTTTCACCATAAATTTCTTATGGTCAGTGCTATTCATACTATATTTCTGTACTCTTTTTCTGCAAGTTTTTATATTTTTATGCACTTACAGAAGGAAGATTAACAGTAGAAAAGCTACTACTGTTTTTTTTTTTAAGTAGAAAGATTACAGGAATGGTCTTTCACTTCATGCTAATAAAAAGTTACCCTTGATCCTTCATAGTCATTGACACTAACTGCTTCTATCTGGATCCTTAGTTCTCCTGAATTCACTTTCTCAAGAGGAGCCCACACATCCCTCACTGAACCTTCTATCAGTCCCTCAAGACTTATTCGTGCACTACCAATGCTGTCAACTCCAAAAACCTCATCAGAGTAGCATTTTATCTTCATGTATTCACCACCTCCTATTTCATCAAACTCAAACTTCTGATTCCAGATTGGGTTAAAAGAATGTGCTGTCTTCGTTTTCTGGAGAACCTGAAAAGAAGGTTCATAGCACAGATCAGAGATAAGCATAAGTAATTCTACTATGTCCAAGTATAATATTACACTTGCAACCTCAACTGTAATATTAGGATCTACCTTTCCATACTGCAATTTAACATATGGGTTACACTTTCCACATTTGTCTTTTGTAATAAGATCTTTCCCTTCCAAGAGAGTTACATTAATTTTCCTTCCAGTTCTTGAAAGAAGATTTAAGGAGCCATTTATCGATGGTTGTGAGCTAACTCGGAAGTTGTTGAAGCTAAGAGAACCATCAGAAAATTGCCATTCTTTTACCACAAGCCTCACTGCCAGCTGTTAAATGTATACAAACAAGAGAACAGTTGAGTCAGCAAATATGCAATTCATCATTTTATTTTCTACTAAAGAAATTCACATACACATACCTAACACATGAACTATTTGTAGTACTCATTCAACATTAAAACCAAGAACACACCTAGTAGTTGGCGAGACCCATTGTTAGTGTGGAAAAGCAAACAAATCGCACAGAAAACTAATTTGTTCAAATGTTACTACATTTGGTAAAGACAAATAAAAACAAAAGATTTACTAATGATTTGCTAGGTAGAATTCAAATCCAACAATTATGACATCCTTGTAATTGTTAGACTAATCAGTAACAAATCTTAGTTGGTCAGCCAGAAGTATAGAGATTTATGGCAGATTTATTCACAAAGATGTCTATTGTAGTGGGATTTGGGTCCTCAGCCAACAAACTTTTCCAATCAACAGGCAATGATTTCCTGGACCCAAAATGAACCCAAGATATTCCCATTACAAAATTAACTATGACATAAGCAAACATCTTTTAAATAAAACATAACCCATCATCATAATATTTCTTACGACTTCCATCCCTTTACCTTTCAATTACCATAATCAAGCAAAATGTTTATTGAGGAAAAGTAAGAAGCAGAAAAGTACATAAAACCGTACCTCCCCTGCGTTGACCCCTTCAAATGGAAGAACCATTTCAACTTCTTTGCCACAAAATTCAGAATGTCTGGCTATTACCCCAGAGGCTGGTCCTATTGCCCAAAAGATTGTGGAATCATCTGTAACATATTTCATCTACTCAATGGACAGGGAAAAGGGAAATCAACTTATCAGTGCCATAAAAGATGATGATCATGAAAAATGTATTAAAACTTTGAAGGTTGTCAGATGAATAAATGTTATGGTTAATAGTCAATAGCATGTTCCTCAGGCATTTCACCAGTTATTTTTCTGAAGTTGGAAGCTTGAAAGCAGGAAAACTATACACAAGAATAATAGAAAAAAAAGAGGTTATTTATCCTATCTAGACCTCCTATTAAATGAAATTATGCAACTAGGCTACTTATGTAAAAGATGTTAAAATAACAAAGCAAAGCAAGCATCTGACATCTGTAATGTTGAGTAAATCTTACTCCCCACAGCTGTCCAAATGTCCTATATATTGCATGCATTTCACTTGCACCATACAGAAACCACCTTAAGTCATAGATCAATCTTTGGCTCCAGAAATTTTAGGAAAATTAGCATCAACTTTGAAAGTACCTTAATCTCAGAACTTGCAAGATAGTCATACTTCACACTTCCAGGAGTACGCTCATAGAGATGGAATCGAACAGTTCCTGTATTATCATGTAACACCATGTTAAATGTTGAATCCCATTGAGGACTGGAGCCGGGCCTCACATCTGTTCTTCTGGTTAACTCTCCTAACTCAACTTCAACAAATGTCTGTAGATCTTTATCATCAAAGTGCTCTTGTAAACCATCAACAGCAAAACTTGGTTGCCTTCTTGATGGGCTTCCTTTCAAGCTACTCCTAGAAAGTTTACTTGCAGAAATAACTGTCACATAAATAATACCACCAATAGCCTTCTTCCTTAAATCTACAGCTGGTAAAGAGAAACATTGACGGCGAGGTTCAACCATTATCTTAGCTAAGGTGTCAGTCAAAAGTTTAACCTGCATTAAGTAAAAGAAAAATTAGCCCACTACTGAAAAGTAAGAGCTAAAGTTACTGAAACAACCTGTTGGACTAGCAACAATATATTCAAAGCTTTTATGACTTATAGTGGGCATAAGTCTGGGAAAAATGTTTGGCCCAGCAATTCTAAATGGAAGCGTTGTTTGTACAGAGCAGAAGGTAAAAATAGGCAATATAGAACCAACTGATTATTCTAAAATGTATCAGGCTAAACTAATGTTTTCCACCTTTAGGTTTATAACATTTGGTTTTGAAACATCAATGTTGTTTTCTTTTAATTATAGAAATAGCAGCTTTCTAAGTTAATCCTCTCTTGCAAAAACCAAAAACAAAGAAAGAGAAAAGTATCAAAGGAACATACCAACCAAGAAGAAACACCAGGCAGGTCCGTTGCAGGTAGTGATTGGCTTCCTCCACTGCCAAAGGCAACTGTTATCCTTACTTCAGGAGTAGATATAAACGAGTACAAAATTGCTTTACCATCCAGAATTGGCATCAAGAGAAGCTGCAGAATGCAAATTAAGTTAAAATATCAATAGATCAAAATTAAGAGGCAGAGAGTGATTACCATTTAAAACTCATGAATAGTAGATTTATTCAACTTTAAAACAAGGGCAGCAAATTGGAAGCATGAAGCAACAGTAAAGGAATCTAAAAATTGAGTAAAGGAACATATTATTTTACTATATATAAAATGATTTTTTTTAATTGCACTCTCATTACTTTGTATATGGTTTCCTTCATCTTTTATCATCAAAACTTAGTTGCCATTACTTAAGATCCATATATGAAAGCTCTATACACATGACAATGATTTGACTATGAAGACGAAAAGCTTTAGTATAACTGACTATATATAACGGGAGAAAGTCACCTCCCATTGGGTGACTTACACAATGAATAAAGATAAATCAAACAGTATGTCCAATCACTTGTCAGGGACAAGACTGATAAACAAACCTGGAGGAAAATCAGTTAAAAAGGAACATAGATAATTAATAAGGCAGAAGCATTCATAAAAGAACAGGTCAATTTTCCCTATCCGAAGACTTCTAAAAGTAGAACCACAAACCAATCTATCAAATAGATCAAGCTGTTAGATAGACTACATTGTCCTATAAAAGGAAAAAAAAGGAAAAAGAAGGGAAAAAAGGAAGCTGTTCAACTTACATCACCCTTGATGTGAAGGCTATTTATAACAATCTTTGCAGTTCCAAAGAATGGCTTGGCCACCTTGGCAAGCAACATAATGCTGATGTCAGTTGTGTCCCAGTCAAAACCCAAGCGCATAACTCGCTGTCAAAATGAACAAGAGATGTTTTGTAAAGATCTTAGATACATTTCACTGCTCAGACAGAAAATAAACCATTAGACAAAGACCATAATATTACAAGAAAGCAAAACTATCAAGTATAAAATGAGATCAAGCATCCAACTGAGTTTGTACAGATTACCAGATACATAGTGAAATATTTCTTTATCCAGCTGTACAAGCTTTTGGATAAACCAGGTTTAAAATGTTTCTACTCTTTGAAAGACCTTTTGTTAACCTTCAAAATTTTCTTAAAGTTAGTCATGAACCATAGTTGAATTAGTAATCTTCATTACCTAGTTCGAGCAAGTCTTATCAGTTATCTTTGCAGAAGAACAGATGGGTGGTCCAAGCAAACAAAAGGAAACGGCTTACAGCCTCCTTCCATCTGTGATGTACAATTATACGTAACTTATGTTACAAGAACATAAGATAACAATTTGGCCCTCTATACTGTCATCTAACTAAAACCATTTATATAGGTCGAAGTCACAAAAAAAATTTATTAAATTAACCTTTGATAAGAAAAAAAGCATTGTATAGTTTTACTAGCGGTGGGCATAAAAGAAAAACACGAATACCACATTGTCATATTGTTAACCTCAACTAACTATTTAGAATCAAATCCCACTTCCTTAACCTCAACTGACTATCTATGATTAAATCTCACTTTCTTACTCTTGCCTTGGCATCTATTTACTTGAATCAAACTGCAAAGCAATCTCACCTTCATATTTCAAACAACACAGTACTGCTAAGTGGTTGGTTTTCTTCTCTCATTTACTCACTTTGTTTCTTTGTTTCTCTCATTCACTCTACTTTAATTGTACTTTAATATAGTTATCTTGCTTTCTTTTTCGTTATAAGCAGCAATGTAGTTACATAACATGTAAAAGTTCAGCTTTGTCTTCCTATCTCACACATCTTACTTTACTTGTACCCTTATTACTTTTCTTTTTATTTTTGGGTTCTCCAGTATAGAGTCCCCCCCCCCCCCCCCCTCTTCACTTGTATTTGATGGTATTACCTTTTTCTGCCTTTTCTTCTTAGGCTTGCTTTCTCTCAATTTCTTGCCAACCACAAAAACATCTTAAAAATGAAGGGATAAAAAAAAAAGAATCACAGTGATAGATGATAAGTTCATCCAGCTGTTTCTTTTTTGATTCAAATAAAATTCAAGCCCAAAACTAGGAGAAGCAAATAGTGAAGTGTTTTCTTTAAAAGCAACAGTGACTGATTCCTAATTCACGACATAATATTGCAAATCAAGCACTAAAATGCTAGAAATATGGTTAACTTTACAGAGATGGAAGCAGTGATAACAAATATCTACCTGATAGAAAAATAAATTGCGTAACATTAATTATTGAAAAGCAGAGCCAAGCATCTGTCTTTTCATATCAACCTCCCTTCATCTCTTCATAGCAGTGAACAAAGAAAGAAAATGAGCTTGTAACAAGTTATTATTAAATTTGTAATGGAGAAACCAGAACACAAACCTGATCGCCTGAAGTTGACCAGCGAGTTCCATGAAGACCCAAGCACGGGGGAAACAAACCTAGTGAAAACTCCAGCAATTCTATTTTTTCCTACATGAAGAATAATAATCTCCTTGGTAAACACATGTAAACAATTAACATCAATCAAAAGTCACTTTGCTAGCACTTTTTTTTTCTTGAAAAATGAATGAAAACTATATTACTTACAATAAGTCTTGATTTGTGATGTTTCAAACGTTTCTGCATGCAAGAAAATTCACTTAGTGATTTAATTAAGAAATAGGAAGTTAAAGAATGTCTGTACATATTTCACTTTGGTAGAAGAAATACTTAAGACGAATGCTACCTCAGAGGAGCACAACTGATTATTTCATCAAATATAATATGTATTAATTGGTTTTAGATTTAAGTCTGAGGATTGTTGTGGCCGTATGTTCAACTTGGACATCTTTACATATAGCAAGTGGATTTTGGTTGGATTATAAACATATACCACATAATATACCAGACACTTTTGTTTGGTCTAGATTAAAAACATCATAGTAGCTTTTCAATAATTTTCACCAGGATTGGGGGACCTCACTTTATTAAAACAACATTCATTTCTACAGTAAATTGGTGAAATATACTCCATGCATGCTTCTTTGTTTTTATCAACACGATTGATACCAATAAAAAAAAAAAAAAAAAGAAAAAGGGTGAGAACAGTGAGCACAATTGATTTCAGCATTAATGCTTTAATAAAATCAATGGTGGCAATTCATCATTGTCCCATAAGAATGTTTTCCTTTAAAGGCCAAAGAACCACTCATATTGCAATAGGTTATGTATATGGGCTACTATATTGGTGACTCTGGCATAGGCACAAGTATCAACCTTATGATTAGACAGGGATGGGATGGGATGGGATGGAATGGGATGGAAATTATTTTCTTGCCCATTGTCCTCCCCTTCCAACTGGAAAGAACAGGAATAGAGGATAGAAAGAACACTCGAAGAACATTCAAATTGTCTATCAACATAACCATTGACAGCTGAGATTGGGATGCAAATTTAAGCATTTCCAAGTTCATATAAACATACATTTATGAGTTTAGGTGTGGGTGTGTCTCCAGATAAGGAAATCCAGTGTCCAATATGTTAATCTAGAAGGAATTCTAGTTCAAAGATCCCACAGGTTTTCAAAAAGATATACATATTTTAAACCAGGATTACAATGAGACTGAATTCAGTTGAACTCAAATTCACCAAACTTCTGTCAGAGTTTAGTCTTCTGAAGAAATTTCTAAATTTTCACCACATGCTAGTATAAGTGCTATTATCTTCTTCTGCTTCTTGTTTTTTCCTTAGGAGGAAGAAGAAAGAGAAGAAGAAGGTGAGATTTGAATATAAGCTCTTGTTACAATTGCAAAAGAATTTAACAAGTAAATTAGTTAACAAGGTCCAGCCTTGTAATCTAGAGAAGAATGACAACAATAATCATTACCATTAGAAAGAATCAAACAGAACTTTTTTCAATGTACACAAAATGGCTAACAAAATAACTAAAAATGGAGAAACATATTCAAGAGAGAATTGAATTCTGAAAATCAATGAAAATGGACTACACAATTCTCACCTCAATAATGGATTGGAACCTTAATGAAAAATTTGGATTCATGTAGTTGGACCAAATCTCCATTAAAAGCTTGTTTAGCCACTCACAGTGCTCCAATGGTGTTATTGGCTGTTTAAAAGTGCAAGCGATTGAAAAGCATTAACTTGATAGAACTCGCATTTTTAAGAGTAGAAAACTGAAGAAAAGAGTAGGTACCGAGGTACTTAGTATAACTCGCTTCCACTTTTTATTCAAGTCTTCAACAACCATTCTCTGCTGATAATCACCATACTGCAATGGAAGAGAAATAACTTACGTTACCATTATAGAATTTTAAATATCAATTGCCATAACACCTCAGCTGATGGGGGAAGGGGAAAATTGTTAATCCCTACACGTAAAGGTACTATTTTTTTTTTTCAAATTTGTAGATATTAGAAAATAGTTTTCTAATGAAAAATCTAGTTAATAGTATCAAGTAAAGTCCAAAGTGAAGAAAAGAAAAATATAACAAGAATGAGCCACAACACAATTAAAGAGCTTAGGTTTTGACTTTTAAGTAACTCAAAAGAGAAAACCAGGCAATTAACAGTATTACCTACGAATCCAAGTTTTGAAACAAGAGATATTCGTTTGAGAAAAAAAATAAAGAGAAAGGTTTGGTACCAATCATGATGAAGAGGGCAAACAGCAATTGGACTTACATGGTAGCTCTAAATCTTTTAAGGCCACCTTCATAGCTACCAACATAGCTAGCTGAATCTTAAAACACCTATTAGCTATTATTCTAGTAAGAAGCTTAGAACTATGCCTAGTTAGCTCAATATCCAACTAAAATAAGGACAGTCATACAATAGAATCAAAATACAAATCGATATAACTACTTGCCCTTTCAAAAATGAACTTCAGCTGTACTCGTCTTAAAGTAAGCAATGATATTTGACATAAGACCTGTGGTGTATTAACTGCCAGATAAATGGATTTCTCATTAAGTGATTATCTCTTGCAAAAAAAAGAAAAAAATCATGTGACACCATGTTCCTTCAAGTGAGAATCATTGACTGGCTATTTGAAAACAAATCAAAACAAATTGCAAATATGAAGCCAAAGTGAAAGTAATTTTAGAACACTGGAAATATCAAAAATAATTTCCAAAACAACCTCCTATGTACATAAAAGCTGCTTCATACACACTAATCATAAAACACAACAAAAAAATAAAAAGCAGTGACGAAAGAACTTGCCTGGATAGTTGCCCAAACGGCAAGAACAAGGGGAACCCATTTGGAAAAAGAGAAGACCCATTTTTCTATAGCCCATAAGATCAAAATGAAAGGGACCAACAAAGGAAGATGAGGCTTCTCCAGTATGATGTTGTTGAAAAAGTCCACAACTTCATAAACATTCATCAAAGCTCTCTTTTTTCTTCCACCCATTTCAGCTAACACCAAGAAGATTAATAATCTTCAATCTTTGTCGTCCAACAAAAACTGTTACTTCCCCTTTAGTCTGTCCATACTTTTGAACATTTTCTCACTTCAACAAACAAATTTTGAAATTTCCCCATAAAACCAATAAAAAATTCTAAAGAGAAAAAGGACAAAGAAAGGATTATGAGAAGAATATCCAGTGGTCTTAATTCACATGGAAAGTTTTATCAAGGTAGCTTAAGAAACAAATCCAAGGAGACCCAACATTGGCTTTCCATTTTCCTGAAAAAGAGTTTAAGAGGAGCGAGACGAGAGGAAAAGTCTAAAGTGAGTGTAAAAGGGCAGAAAAATAGTACGGACTAAAGTACAAAAAAATATCGTTGGGAACAAGAAAATAATAGTTTTAAGTATTGTAACAATTAATACTATTTAAAACCAAGGGTTGGTATTCGTTTGATGGGACCCAACGAATGATTGCCATGAACCTACCCCCGTTTGATTAGCAGAAATTGTATTTTTGTTGACTTTAAATTAAAATAGAAAAAAAATATTTTTGGTGGGCTGGGGGAATATATCTGTAAAGAAAAAAGTTAGATGATGAGAAAAGCGGCTGCAGAATTTATTTGAGCATGAGGTGGTAAGAAATCAAGTGGACCAGACCTAAACAAAATGTGTGGGCCACGTCCTTTTAAAATCGTCAAAGCAAAGTGTGTGTCTGCATCTTAACCGAATTAATCCATCCCATTTAATTTCGTTAATTAATTTTGATTTATTATTAAACATGATTTTAGAAGATATTTGATTTTTTATAATCTAAAATTAAACTTAAAAATTTGAATCTAAAGTCTTTATTTTATTTTATTTTTTGGATATAATTTTTAAAAAATATTTAAATTTCAGATCTGTAAGGTTTTTAAAAAATTTTTTGTTATTTTTCAATGATTTTTTAGTTGATTTTTGTGTAATTTATTTTTTTCAATTGATTTTTATTTTAATTGCATTTTTTTATTTTAATATTTGATTGAGGTTGATATGTTTGTTAGTCTAAGATTCTTGAGGTAACTTTTTCCATTGTTGAGTTAAATATATTTTTAAAGATTTTATTATTATTTAAGTGTTTTTTTCGATTTTTTGCAAAATTTTTAAAGGGCTTTGTAATTGTCAGCAGCATCTCTTTCCTTCTTCCCTCTAACTCCCTTTCTTATTAGGTTTTTTCGTCGATTTCCTATTATTTATTATAATTATAATTTATAATTATAATATTATTTTATAAAAAATAAAAAGTAAATTATTTAAAAATGTCATTGGCAAATAAGCAGTTCACCATGTGTCAGCTAATGAATTAGGGACTTTTTAACTATAAATCTTCCTTTTCATTTTTCTAAGCTTTATTTTTTTTTTTCGAGGTTTTTTTTACCAAGTTTTTTTTAATTTTGGTAACTAAAAAATTAAATCAAATTTTTAAAAAAAATACAGATGGCAAGTAAAAAGTTTATCACATGTCATTATACAAAGGATTGCTTTAAATATGTACTATTTAATATTCTTTTTTTTTATTTTTGTTGGTATTGGCTTTGAAATTTGCCTTTAGTATTTTTATTTTTAAAAGTAAAGAATCATTGATTTTTATTATTTTTAAAACTTTTGATAATTTTTATTATAAATATTTTGAGTCTACAAAATCATTATTTGTAATGGGAAAATCGAAATAGCATTACTTTTTATGTAATTTAAGATTAAAGTATAAAATATGAAAAATTGGTTATGAAATTTAATTATTAAATCAAATATTTTTCATCCTTACTATTATTATGTTTTATACCAACTGCCAAGCAAAGAAAAAATTTTCATGAGATATGATTCAGATTAAAATAAGAAAAAATGATGACTAAACAATATATAAATTTTATGGACCAAAATTTTAATATTTCTTAGATTAATGTTAAATTTTATTTATTTAACATTTTTATTTTATTAAAAATGATTTTAAAGTCACTCGATAATAAGCGCGTGAACAAGTAAAAATTATATTATGCGTCTTTAACTAGAAATATCTAACCTCACACCAATAAATAAAATAAAATTTTGTCTTTAACTAGAAATATCTAACCTCACACCATTAAATAAAATAGAATTCGATTGGCGCATGTAATTACATTTGATACATTTCCAGTCCCAATTACCATATAGTTATTTAAAATTCATTTTTTTGTTGGTTTTTTTTTTTAATTGACGTAATAGAAAATAAAATAATAAAATTTGTCTTTTATATTAATAGAATATTATGCAAAATATTTTGATTTTATTTTTTTATTCAATAATTAACAAAATTAAAATTTTAATAAAATTAAAAATATTGAGACAAAATTTAACGAAACCGAAGTTCAACGACAAAATTTAATTTTAACCTATATTATAGTGGTAAAATTCACCTTTATCCCAATTATCCCACATAGTGAAAGAATAATTTTTAGTATTATTCTAACAATTTGGTGTTGGCCATTAAATTAATTGTATTTTTTGTGATTTTTTATAAAATATCACTAAAATCTATAAGAATTTCAAATAACAATTATGTTATATTTATATTATTTATTTATTTAAGAAAATAAAAAAAATTTAATTTTAATTAGCAACAAAATAATAATAATAATAACTCCTAATTAGATTTGGACTTTTATTTGGTGAATTGGAGTAAAAAAAATTCATTCCAGTCAAATACATTGGGTTAGACAGAACATAACTATCCGTCGTCCGTTACTCTTTCTTTTTAGAGCACATCAACGACGACCCATTCTGAGATTTTTTTTTTTTTTAACTTTTCCTCGCCTTAATATGATATCACTTTTGTCTGACATAAAAACATAAATTGAAGCTTTTAGGTAGAAAATATAAATTTTATAAGCAAATTTAGAATATTATTATATATAATTATTTATTAAATTGTAAAAATATTATTTTAATGAGATATGTGATAATTTTATTCTCGTTGCTGAAATTTAAAACTTCATTTAATGGGAAAGAGATAATTTTTGCAACCGTTGAACAATCAATGAACACCAAATTAAAAGGAACAACCATCCAATTAAGGGTCCGGCTGCTATATAGATTTGGACTCAAATTTTTTTTCTTTTGTTAATTATGATTTGTAGTCAATTTTAATTGTAGGTATTAGAAAATAGAGAAGAAAAGACCTCAACTTGGACTTCTCCATTAGGACTACTTGAATTCAAGCAAGTGTAGTGGGAATATATAAAGGATGAAATATCATTAAATGTAACGGAAAATATAAACATATATTTCGTGAAACATAATGGATCGATAAAATCAAACTGCAAAGTGTAGTGATACATCTAAATCAGAATTTGAACATATGCGTGGAATTTTTTTCCTTTTTTTTATGATGGAAAATAGGGTGTTTATTAGCATTATTTTAAATTGAACTTTTCAAAATTGAATTAATCAAATCATATTATTTTATTTTTATTAATTGAATTAAATTTATTAATTTTAAAAATCTTATTTATCAAGTTTAATTTGATTAATTTTTTAATTAATTAAGTAATAAAATATATTTAAATTAAATTATTTTTAATTTTAAAATTTTTCAAAATAAATTTAATAAAATCATCCGATAAAATATTTAAATATCAAAACACTATATTAAAAATTTTAATTTATAAAATGAAATGGTCTATTCCATAAATTTTTAATTTTGTTTTTGAATTTTTTATATTTTAATTAAAACTGCAATTAATTTAATTATTGAATCAAATTAATTAAAAATAAAAATTATTTTATAATAATTTTTAATAATTAATATAAATTAATTTGATTATAAATTAATTAATTTAATTAATTAATTCAATAAAAATCGAAATCTGAACACCCCTAACGAAAAGTAAGTCATGTACTTTAACGATTCTCATCATAAGAATGAGATATTTAATAAACAGAGGTGGAAAGATATTTTTGGAGAACTTGGAATTGTATAAACTTTAGCAGAATCAACAAATGAATAGAAAGAAGCTTCTCCTTTCCGAGCAAAGACAACACACTGCTTTCCGAGCCACTCAAAATAAGAGTTGTGGTGGTGGTGGGGTTCTTTTTACGCGTCCGATTTGCTTGTATCTGTATATAAAATATAATAGGAAATTATTGGTCAAAGTCAATTTCTAAAATATTAACTTTCAGAAAGCATATCCAATTTTGTTAAAAGTTAAAAAATTGGTTAAGTAATTTATTTTTTTTTCAAAAAAAGTTGGCTGTGGAAAAATTAAGTAGGCAACCAAAAAATAATATTAAGTTTGTAGACTCCGTCACAAAAAGTTATGAATAATCTGAATGGTCTAAAAAATGGGCAAAGGATGGAAGTCATTATTTATTTAGAATATTCGTTGCCTTTTCATTTTTTCTTTTAAGAAAATGGGATGAGACTTGGCTCATTCAAAAAAGGCAATCACGGAATATTCCTTTTTTGATTTTTTTTTTTTTCTTCATCTTTAACAAGATTCATAATCATCAATTTAGCTTTCATTGATTGGACTAAATATTTATGGACTCTAGAATTAGTGCTTTCGTTTGCTCTCTGGCAGCCAAAAATTAACAATCTCAATCTCTCAAAGGACCACAAGAGCATTAATTTCTGCCTGATTTTTTTTTTCTTTTAATTGCAATACTACTAGATCGTCGAGATTGTCCATCCCACTAATTTTAATTTACATAATTTTCAACAACTTGATTTTAGTTCATTTATGTTTCAAGCTTGGCTGTAATGAGTTTTTACGGGGATTCAATTTTTGTTTGTTATTAGACGGTTGTTCTGTATCACAAGTGGCATGAGTTTCTATATCTTATAGGAAGAAGGTATTTTGTATTGAAATCCGTTTATATATTAATGGAACTTCATTATTGACTCAGAAAAAAAATCTTAAGCAAGGGCTATTTTAAAGAAAATAATTTTTTTTTATAACGGTGCATATAGACTGTTAAAAATATTAATTCAATATTCGATATTTAAATTAAAGAAGTATAAGATTGCATTTTAAGTTTTTTTTTAACAAACTTGAAAAAATAAAACCCAAAATTTTGAGATCAATTAAATAAATATGTATAAACACTTCATTTCATCCAAGTCTTTTAATTGAACTGTAGAGATACTTTTATGTCCAATGGTTAATACAGTTATTTGGCTTGATTTTGGATTCATGTAAATTCAAGTTGAATTTCATTTTAGATTTTTGGATCTTGGTATATATTGGATCTTCAAATTTGATTTTGGCTATTTAATTGGTGATTGGGCTTAGAACCCAATAGATGAAGTGGTTAGTATTTCCTTTTCTTTTTTCATTTTATTAAGAAAAAA